TTTTTTAATGGACCAAAGGCTGGATAGCTTTAAAAATATTTACTTTTTATGATTTTCTGAAAATATTTTTTTACTGGATTATCTCCCTTTGAATAATCCAAAAACTGTTTCTTGAAAAAATTATGTACTGATGAGTTTCTAAAGCTTTAACACTTGATTATTCAATAAATCATCATTCTTTATCTCGTTGTTTTTCGCATTTATAAGTTTCAGGGTGTTGAAATTGGTCAATTTTTACAGAAAAATACTGCCTCAAACATGAGAAAACTGGTTTCCGGGCCATTACAGCATCTCCTAGCTGAAAGACATGGGAACCAGATGAAATATTTTTTTTATGGACTTCTTTCATAATGTTGTTTAAGCACACAAAGTTTCAATTAAATCTGATGACCCCCCCTTGTGGACTGTTTTTACAGCATAATTACCTAAAAGTGTAGTCTAAAAGTTTACAGGCATATATGGTTGTTTAGAATGTGAATTATTTCCCAACATCCAGGAGGATTTTTTTCAGAGAAAAAAGACAAACAATTCCATACCTAATTATGTACAGATACACATCTTTATTTACACTGTTTAAATATAAATTGTCATACAGGTACACCTGACCAGTTCCTGAGCATTATTGTATTACTCAGTCACGTTATTTGCTTGATAATTAATAAACTTTCTACCTATGGTCTAAATTTTTTTAAGGCTAAAAATGTTCCAACGACTTAACTGCTCCAAATATTCTAATTAGAGATTTTATATTTTAGGTCTAAGTCTAATAGTTTTTCATTTTAGATCTAAATGTAGGTCGGATAGAAGAAATTTCTTTCAACTTACTAACTCACTACCACACCATGCACAAGTATTCATTTTAGATCTATGTCTGATAGACGAAATTTATTTCAACGGACTTACAGCTATAGATATTCTATTTAAGATCTGAATGTAGGTCTGATAGACGAAATTTTTTCCAACGAACTAACGACCAAAAGTATTTCATTTTAGGCCTATGTCTGAATTAAAAAAACAAAACATCTTCAGACGGACTAACTGCTTCAAATAATTCATTGAAGGATTGATAGAAGAAATTTCTGCCATCTTACTAACTGCCACTAATACTACATTTTAGGTCAGGTTTGATAAAGAAATTTCTTCCAACGAACTAACAGCTACATGTGTTTCATTTTAGATCTACATGTAAATGTAGGTTTGATAGAAGAAATTTCTTCCAACGAACTAACGGCTTAGATTAAATATTTCACTTTTGGTTTAAATCTGATAGAAGAAATTTCTTCCAACGAGCGACCACCTCGAAGTAATTCATTTTACGTTTAATAGAAGAAATCTCTTCCAACAAACTAGCTGCCAAGTGTATTATATTTTAGGCCTAAGTCTTATAAAAGAAATTTCTTCCAATGACCTTACTGCTCCAATGATTTTATTTTTTTATTGAATAAAAGAAATTTCTTCCCTTAACCTGAATTCTCTTAACATCCAGTCTACCATAAAACCATGCAAAACAGTCCACAAGGGGGGGTCATCAGATTTAATTGAAACTTTGTGTGCTTAAACAACATTATGAAAGAAGTCCATAAAAAAAATATTTCATCTGGTTCCCATGTCTTTCAGCTAGGAGATGCTGTAATGGCCCGGAAACCAGTTTTCTCATGTTTGAGGCAGTATTTTTCTGTAAAAATTGACCAATTTCAACACCCTGAAACTTATAAATGCGAAAAACAACGAGATAAAGAATGATGATTTATTGAATAATCAAGTGTTAAAGCTTTAGAAACTCATCAGTACATAATTTTTTCAAGAAACAGTTTTTGGATTATTCAAAGGGAGATAATCCAGTAAAAAAATATTTTCAGAAAATCATAAAAAGTAAATATTTTTAAAGCTATCCAGCCTTTGGTCCATTAAAAAAATAAAGATAACTCAATTTGTTTTATTAATTGGAATACTTAATTTTAGCTAATAAGCTTGCTGGGGTCTCTTTGAAGTACATTCTATAATTCTTCTCCAAAAATGCCTAAATTTACATTTTCTCTCTATAAATCAATGAATTTAAAATAGTATTTTGTGGATAATTTTGGAAATGTAAGTGTTTCTTTTTTTAAAAGCACTATAATAATAATTAACAACTTAATTCAAAGTAACAATGACCATAGTTCAATTACAATTTATAATGCTATATATATATTGAATTTATATGGTACAAAGGGAGATAATCCAGCAAAAATGCATTTAAAAAAACCTTAAAATAACTTTTTTTTAAACTTACCAACTATCGGTCCATTAAAGATATAAGTATATATCTAATTGGTTATTTTAATAGACAGAGTTAATAACGCATTTTAGCATATACGATGGGGGGACTCTAGTTTTAGTACTTCAGTCTAAAATTCTCCTTGAATAATATCCAAATTTAAAGAAATCAATGAAATCTATATATCAATCTGTAGATAATTTTGTAAATGTATTTTTTTCATTTTTTTAAAGCATTATTATACTTAACAAAGTAAATTTTAACTAACAATGAAGATAATACAGTTACAATAAATGATGCCATAAATATTGATTTTCTATGGTACAAAGGGAGATAATTCAGTGAAAAATTCATTTTCAAAAATCTGGGAAAAAAAATCGATTTTTCTTCAAATTTAGCGTTCTGCTCTTAATACATCATAAGTGTTTCAATATTTCCTTTCTTTTCATAAAGTTAAAATAAAACAAAGCCTACCAAGATGTAAGAAGAGAATGTTTAGACCAAAACAATTGGGATTTTTTTTACGATTCTGTTGAAAAATGTCAAAATTTGCAATTTTTAACACCAAACATTAAAATAACAATCTGTATATCCATGTAGTTTTAACGTATATTTTAAAAAGAAAAGCGCAATAATCTAACAAGGTGTAAGTACCTAAAAGAAATACAATCAACATAACATTGATTTTTATATGACCAATTGGATTATACAAAGAAATCCAATTATAAAAACAGACTTCTAAACTAATTTGTGCTGTCATATTTTTACTGGAGTTACTCATCCTAATAAAACCATCTCATGTATTTAAATGTTTCTTTTTATGAAATAATTATAAATCAATTTTTTTCATGCTTTTTAAAGTTTCTATCTATGAAATCTATGGTTTGTAGTTTTCAAGATACTAGGCAATAAACTACTTCGCTGAGCGCAGCTGGATACGCCCGCAGAGGTCTACCCCTGAACAGTTGGGGCAAAAATGGACACAATATTCAAGCTTGATACAGGTCTGAATTTGGATTGTAATTAAATGTTTGACATATTATAGGTTTCTGAATAAATGTAGTCAAAGAACTTGAAATTGGTTGTATATTCAATTAAAGATTTCTTGCTGTTGTGCAATACACTGTGCTGTTGCGTAATACTTAGCAATCTGTTGTCAGACTATAAACAAATAAAATCTTATAACTCGAAAACGTAAAATCAAAATATCAAAAAAAATCAAAAGGGAGCTTACAAAAATAGACATAAACAATTTATCAAAGTTTCATAAAAAATGCTAAAAGCATTTTTGAGTTATTATCCGAAAACTGGAAAATCCCCCTTTTTGTAATGAATAAAAACCCCATAAATCGGAAACGTATAGTCTAAAATGTATAAAAATCAAAAGGTAGCTCATGTCGATAGAAATAAACAATTCACCAAAGTTTCTTGCAAATTGGTGAAATTGTTTTTGAGTTCTTGTCCGAAAACTAGAAAATCCCCCCTTTTTTAATGAATAAAACCCACAACTCAAAAACGGAAAATCTGAAATTTACAAAAAAACAAAAGGAAGCTCACGTCAATAGATATAAACAATTCACAAAAGTTTCATGCAAATTGGTGAAATTGTTTTTTAGTTATTGTCCGAAAACTGGAAATTCCCCCCTTTTTTAATGAATAAAACCCCAAAACTCTGAAACGGTAAATCCGAAATATATAAAAAACGAAAGGGAGCTCACGTCAATACATATAAACAATTCACCAAATTTTCATGCATATTATTTAAAGTGTTTTTGAATTAATGTCCGACATGTTGACGACGGACGGGGGAGGTTAAACATGTTTTGTTAGATCTCAACCCTCCTCCTATACCTCTAGCCAATGTGGAATAAACAAACATACACAGCAAAATTCAATTAAAAAGAAATCCGAGTCCGATGTTAGAATAGGTAACAGTAGAAAGTAAGCAAAATGACAATCAATATACATCAGCAACGGACTACTAGCAGTTACTGGCATGCCAGCTCCAGACCTCAATGTCCGTTTAACTGAACCAGGGACGTATATACCATACATATATATGTCTCTTACTGAACTGCAGGACAGCAAATATAGAATAACTCCATCAAATCAGTAAAACTAACAATACAAAAGTAGTTTTTTTTAATCTTTCAGACATCCTTATGTTAAATATTTTAATATTTAGGAAGACTTGTTTAAAAAAAATTGTAGTAACAAGATATCTGTAGCAGGTTTGGGTGAATACATTATTATTTAAATTAAAAACATAAATACATATCTTCTTTTGATTTTTTTTTGTGTCAATCAATTTGTTTTTTAAAAATTCTACCAAAAGATAATTTTTACAAGATGTGTCATAAAATTTTTCAGATACACATCGATGATACTTACGTTAGTCATCAAATACAGTTTAGGTAAGTTTGTAAAATCCTTAATCTGCAAAAACAAGGCACGATTGGTTTCAATCGAAAATCTAATCCCTTGTCGGTATGCTTTATCCCAAAACCAAAACAAATGATATTACGCTCAAAATAAACATTTTGATCATTTTTTGGATATCCAATTTGTATACCAGATATAGCTATATCCCTTGTTGCCATTAATTTCTTTTACAGTAATTCATTACGAGGGTTTATGATGATCATTATGATAGCTAGATACTTGCATCATGATGGTAGGATGATGTATGGTTGTTCAGGTGCCAAATATTTCAAAAGTATATTTTTTCTATTTTCAGCCACGAATGTGTGCATTGGTGTCATAGCATTTTTATTTGGGATATGGATGCTATGGACTTTAGGACAAATCAACTATTTTGGAAGAGCAGATTTCAATAATATTATAAAGAAACAACCACAACCTTTAAGGACAAACGCTTCTGAAACCTATTTTACTATATTATTTTATGCTATACCTGCCTGGTTTAATCCCAAAACTGTTATTTTTCATGAATGCAGCTACAAAAACTGCAAATTAATAACAGATAAAAAACTACTTTCCACAAGTGAAGCTGTCATCTTTCATCATAATTCATTTTCAACATTGCCTGATAAGCCAAGAGGTCAAATATGGATATTTGCTTCTTTAGAGAGTCCATATCATACTAGTAAACACTTTAACACTGAAAAGGTGAAGGGAAAATTTAATTGGACAATGACGTACCGAAAAGATTCTGAAGCGTTTTCACCGTATGCATTTCTGAAGAAACAACTTCACATTCCTGTAAAAAAATACACCTCTATATTCATGAATAAAACAAAAAACATTGCTTGGGTCGTGAGCAACTGCCAAACTCAATCAAAGCGACAGGCTTATGTGAAAGAATTATCGAAATATATTGATGTTGATATTTATGGAAGATGTGGGAAACCTTGCTTATTTAAAGGAGAGCATTGTAAAATGCATTTAAGTAAAACTTACAGATTTTATCTATCTTTTGAAAATTCATTATGCAAAGACTATTTGACAGAAAAAATATTTAGAATGTACAGCAATAGTATTGATTTCATTCCAATCGTTCGAGGTGCACCTAATGCAAAAGACCATTTGCCACAAAAGACATATATTTCAACGTCTGATTTTCAGTCACCACAAAAACTGGCGGCATTTCTTAAGATTATCGGCAGCGATAAAACACGCTATATTTCATATTTGAAAGAAAAACATAAATATTTGGCTAGTGCATATGAGAAATCGGACTTTTTCGCGGGACTTTGTGATATATGTTATCATTTAAATGTAGGAACACAAAAACCTAAAACCATAGATCTAAACAAATGGTTATGGGAAAATCAGTGTCATATGCCAACTGACATACATGTACCCAATTAAAATTATAAATTATATAAGAACAGATTTGAAATTTGTTAATTATGTAATGATTTGATAAATTTACATTTATAATAAAACCTAACTGTACTTCTTATGATAAATTATATTTAGTAATTGGTTGGATATACTTCTTATGATAATGATTGGATATATTTAGGATATCAAACTACATCTGTGTGATATTTTGACTGGAAATCTATGATGCGTCCATAAGAGAGGTTATCAATAATGAAAGGTGACAAGGATCCGCCTCTGGCTTTCAATCTATACTAAAACTCGCAGTATTTTAGTTTTATACGAGTACTACATTTTATAATTTTTTTCCAGATGTTCTTCGATGCAAAGAGGTGTGGATAATATACATTGTATTTGTTTCTCTCACAAGTTCAAAATTTAAAAATTGCAAAAAAAAAACAATACTAGAAACTGAATGTTTAACAGTCTGTATCATATTCCTAAAATGATGTTCCCAAATTTTAATATTTTATAAAATATTATTTTTTATTCATCGCTTCGTGTTGTCGTTGAAGGCATTTTGATAAAAAAAAAAAAATGAAAATTTTACATTTGTTTGTCAAATGTTGCATCGAAGAACGTCCCTTACTCAAATTAATTAATTTGTTTCCGAAAGACAATACATAGCTTATTTACTTTCACCTTTGTTTTGGTTTTGATTAACGATGTCCTTCCTATACATTTTTGGGGTAAATGCTCATAATTTGACATCATATGTAAAAATTGGGGTTTTGGGCTATCTTCAGGCAATTATAGTTTGATGACCTGTTTAGTAGAGAGGCGAATGATACAAAAGGGATATTCAAACTCATAAGTCAAAAACAAACTGAAAATGCCATTTATGTTATTCTAATATACCAATTAAGTCCTTATTGAACCTTGTTAATGCATGATTACCACCGATTCGTATTTCGTATTACACAAAACACAACACAAAAAACAAAGACTGAGCAACACGAACCCTACCAAAAACTTGGGGTGATCTCAGGTGCTCCGGAAGGGTCATCAGATCCTGCTCCACATGTGGCACCCGTCGTGTTGTTCAAGTTAGTACAAACCCGATGATTAGTATAATTCGGTAAGTCAAATTCGGGGAAAAGGGGACGGGATAGTAGTGATGACAATTGGAAAATAAATCGCCACATTTTGTCACTGGTTATTCATGTTATTGTTGTATTCAGTTGTGGGTTCCGTCGTACAATGGCTCGACATTACTGTCTTCTTAAGAAGTTATATGAGAATACTGTCTTATAAAGAAGATTTATGTGAGATTACAGTCTTCTAAAGAAGTTATATGCGAATACTGTCTTCTAGAAGATTCATATATTTGTATACTTTTCGAATGTTTTCTTCCTTTCTTTTTTTTTTGGGGGGGGGGGGGGGGTGTATATATACACATCCACGTTTATTTTCTATTTAGAAATTGTTTTATTTATATATAACATCATAAATATCTATTATAAGGTTAAATCCTAACTATCCTACTGCCTGTCGTTACTTTTATTTTGGCATTGCACAAGTAATGTCTTCTTTGACTGTCCATGGCATTAAAACATTAAATCCCTGCCTGGGATGTGTTTTAATTGATTTTAGTCCCTGATGCATGATTTTTTATTATTAATTGTTTTTGGCTTTTATCTAGCTTTCAGTAACTGCGAGTACTCTCAAATAGTACTTTTGTGTTAATTTGACCTGTTGATACAATTTGTAATGCACTTCTGTTATTCAATTTTTACTTATTTTGTGTTATATCTCGTCTTACTATTTTTAATATGTACCACCTTTGAAAAGTATTTGGTATGACGATAAATTTTCACTTCTGTATTCGAAATATGAACAACAAATTTATTTTGTAAAAAATGTTTCTGTACTCCTAACAACAAAATTATTATATTTAAACTTACCTGTGTACGTTACTTTATTTAACGTCATTTTGTCCTAGGTTAAAGTTGTCTTTTTGACATTGATACATCTTTTTTTTATTTATATTGTATTTATATTGTGTCATAGATCAATCTTATTCGTTCAGTGTATATTTACTGGTTTTTGTTTTTGTGATTATGTCTTTTTGATCGAGTTAAGCCATTTCAATTGATATTTTATTGTGTGTCTTTTAATGTTGTAATGTTACACCACTGTTTCAGGTTAGTGTGAAGGTCGGCGCCTGTTAAAACTTTTAAACCCGCTGCATTTCTATGCACCTGTCCTAAGTCAGGAACCTGTTATTCAGTGGTTGTTGTTTGTTGGTGTGGTTAATACGTGTTTCTCGTTTTTCGTTTTTTATATAGATTAGACCGTTGGTTTTCCTGTTAAAGTTGTTTTACACTAGTCATTTTGGGGCCCTTTATAGCTTGCTGTTCAGTGTGAGCTTATGCTCCGTGTTGAAGGCCGTACTTTGACCTATAGTTGCTTATTTGTTACACATTGTGACTTGGATGGAGAGTTGTCTCATTGGAACTCATACCACATCTTCTTATTTATATTATGTGAAATTACAGTCTCCTTAAAATATCTATGAGTTTGACTGTCCCTCTGGTATCTTTCGTCCCTCTTTTATGTGAGATAACAGTCTTCTTAAAAAGATTTAAGTGAGATTTCAGTCTTCTAAAGAAGATTTATGTGAGATTACAGTCTTCTAAAGACAATCTATGTGACATTAAAGTCTTCTAAAGAAGATTTAAGTGAGAATACTGTCTTCTAAAGAAGATTTATGTGAGATGACTGTCTTATAAATAAGATTTGTGTGAGATTACAGTCTTCTAAAGAAGATTTATGTGAGAATATTGTCTTCTGAAGAAGATTTAAGTGAAAATACAGTCTTCTAAAGAAGATTTATGTGAGATTAAAGTCTTCTAAAGAAGATTTTAGTGAGATTACTGTCTTCTAAAGAAAATTTATGTGAGATTACAGTCTTCTCAAAAAGATTTAAGTGAGAATACTGTCTTCTAAAGAAGATTTATGTGAGGTGAGATTACAGTCTTCTGAAGAAGATTTATGTGTAATTACTGTCTTCGAAAGAAGATTTGTGTGACATTACAGTCTTCTAAAGAAGATTTATGTGAGATAACAGTCTTCTTAAGAAGATTTATGTGAGCTTACTGTCTTCTAGAGAAGATTGATGTGAGATTACTGTCTTCTAGAGAAGATTGATGTGAGATGAGTGTCTTCTTGAGAAGATTTATGTGAGAATACTGTCTTCTAGAGAAGATTTATGTGAGATTACAGTCTTCTAGAGAAGATTTATGTGAGCTTACAGTCTTCTAGAGAAGAATGATGTGAGCTTACTGTCTTCTAGAGAAGATTGATGTGAGATTAGTGTCTGCTAGAGAAGATTTATGTGAGAATACAGTCTTCTAGAAAAGATTTATGTGAGATTACAGTAACAATAACAATATGTTTTCTACTTGATCATCACTGCATCATCACAAGTTACGATTTCACTGTCTGGAATGTATACTTTCATCGAAGTTTTTGTACTTTTAAGCATTCTAACTTTCTATTTTGTCCCAGAAATTATTTGAATTTGATGTAGCCATATTATCGATTTCCAGATAAAAAGGTTTTTTCATCTGATGTTCACATTGTCTCAATTTTCTATCGGATGATTTTTGCGACTGTTGAAATTTTTCCCGAATAATCATAATAACAGATAATTTCTCTAAAATGTACGATCATGGTTTACAAATAACTTTTAATCAGTATATGGCTACCGGCGTACGTAACACATGTTACTATCTATTGATTATGTCGCCTTTCATTAGAAGAGTCACTTTTCTATTGTTTTCGCGTCTTTGTAACCAGGATGTTGCTGTTTATTTATATTTTGGATTTATAAGATTCCTTAAGACGCTACCATGTCGACAAAATAAATAAATTCCTTGCCGAAACGGAATTATTTGTTTTCTTTTGCAGTTATAAGAAGGTTTGATATGTCAATTCAAACTTGTCATTATTTTCTCTCAAAGATATGTGTGTATGAAGGAGGCTCTGTAAAGTTTTCCCTGATATATCACTTTTTCGTGCAAACGTTGATAAATGTTCGGCTTGCAAACGTTGACATTCAATTCCAGACGTCTATGTTGTTTACTTATATAATGTTTCATTATCAAACCAGTTTCAACTGTTCGCCATATATGTAGTTCTGGCTAATGTTATGTGTTGATCAAGGCCGGTGTATAAGATCCATTTCAATAAGGAGTAGAAACTTACAATAGTCTTTATCTTTTGGAGTGTTACATGACATCGTGACATCGTTTGGATAGTACATCTCTTGGATAAATTTAAACCAAGGTTTAAATATCGTCTTCATTTTTAAAACTAATCCGATATGAGAGGACGTTATTAATTATGATCATTCACCTTCCCAGACATGTCAAAGGGCAAAGTACGTCTAATCACACTGCAATGTCAATAATCCAGCGCTCAAAGTACGCAACGAAGATTCATGTATTATATGATAGGGTACGATAGTGTTTCTATTTGGTGAAGCATCAATTACTAAAGTGACTTTCAGAAACTGTTTCATTTGTGGTAAATTTAGTAGGGACTCTGTGGGAACGTCACGTCAATAAACTCATATCTGCCGTAATGCATAATTGGTGTTATCGACGTTGGTAAAAATTACAAAAAAAAAACTTTTTCATTCGATGTCAGATAAAATATGAATTTTAGCTCTTGAAACTAGGCTGAAAGAGCTCTCCAACTGTTTCGGTACTTCGGACGCATGAAATTATCAAACGTTTTTTTCAATTTTTTTACATCACTGGGTCGATACCTCTGCTGGTGGACTATCAGTCTCCGAGGGTATCATCAGCTCAGTAGTCAGTACTTCGGTACTGACATGATTTATAACTAACCTCTCTAAAATTGTTCGTTTATAAATTTGAAATTATTTAGAAACTAAGGTTTCAACTCCCTCAGTCAAAGATGACCTTAGATGAATTTGGCTATTTGTTTTATGTATTTTTGTCATATAGCTCTTCAAC